TCACCTAGACAGAATAAATTAGTTTAACTGTAAAGAAGAATCTGAGCGTGATATGGTGTAAACCATTTTGTTTCATTTGTAAAGAGGTGAAAGTGGCATCAGAGAGGCTCCACTACTGCCTGCAGGAATGGGAGAATAAGACTACTCAAAGAAAGAGTGTTCAGCCTTTTGGAAAAATAGCTGGCTACTTATTAACCTACTATCAAGACCTACTTCATGTTGAAAGTAGTGGCCACAACAGACTCTAAACAGAACACTTAACTCCATGTGGCTTTCTAAAATGAGTGCCTTCTTAAAATGGGAGGCTATGAGTTCGCCCTTTAGTTACAGTTTCTAAATCAACAATAGTCCTCTTAATTATTCAAACAGTGATGATAAGCTAGCGTTAGGTTTCATATGTTCCTCGATGCAGTCTTGGGGGATTCAAGGCGGTGAGATCACCACACACTCAGGTCCAGATGCCCTGCTGCAAATCTTGAAACCTGATCCTTGAGATGAGAGAGACCCTCAGCTGAGGAACATTTCTGGCACACCAACTCAATGACATCACCCCCCCTCCCCTTTCCCCCATTTTCTGCTTTCCCCTAATCACCATTTCCTTCTATGCATCTTTGCAGTGTTTTTTTTTTCTCTTTTAACAAGACATGGATGTCTTTGCTTGCCCTCATAATCCAATGTATGTATTAATCTTCTGTAAAGGAGCACAGCTATACATTTTTGTATCTCATAGTCTTTTCTGAGAATCATAGTAGAAATGGTGGGTGAGAAACCCCGGTTGCGGTTTCTTACCAGCCACTTGAACTGAATGACATCACTTGAGGACGCACTTAGTCATTTCTACATTACAGCTGTGATGAAGGATGGCATCGTGCAGACCGAGCATAGATCACATATGGTGCTCTTTAGCTTTTGAACTTTGTATAAACGCCACATGGCTGGACAGCTTTAACAGAGTAGAAAACCGGCACAGTTGGTTTTGATTCCTTCATACCAGGAACTCATTTTCACCAAAAAAGAAAAAGACTGAGGTTAAGTGTAAACAGCCTAACTACCTGAAGGATATAGAAACCAGTAGGGTTATTGCACTCATCAGCGTGGCTGCAGGCTCACTGTCTTATAAAACTGGGATACTTCTTCAAGACTATAAAATAAAGACCTTAGGCACAGCATGAAATAATATTTAAAACTGTAAAACCAGGGCATTTTGTGGCATGCCTTCGGTTATCGCTGCTTTTTGTCCTGGACAGCGTTTAAAGTTTAACACGAACAAGATGTCTCTGAAAGCAGCAACTATATGGCTTTTAAGGAAAACTTTATTCCACTTTTGACGAGGAAGGCTTTGAACTTAGCAGCGGCCTGTTGGTTTATGGTTATAGAAGAACTAAATTTAGTTAATATACTGTGCTCCAGCTTTGTAAAAGGAAGCACTGAAACACGATGCCTCATTAAACAATTCTATGTCCTAATGCTACTGAAAGAAAACAAAAACACCCACAGTATGTGGATACTGTTTTCTTACAAGTGACATAACCACCATGCCCACATGGGATGAGTAAAAACAACACAAAACAACACAAAACAAAAAAAAACCAAACAAAAAAAAAACTGCTGTAGTTTCATTTTTTAAGCCAAATCAACCCTAGGAATATTAAAGAACAGCTACCCCAAAGAAAACCTAACAGTACTTCCAGTATTTCCTCCCTGGTTAGACACATTATCTGTGACTACTGTGTTGTTCATGAAACTCTCTATTGTTCTGATGTTAATAGCACACCCAGTTTCTGGGAAAGCGTGTCTGGGCCACGGGTCACTAATGCGGGGGACAAACAACCCTTTTGAGTCCAGTCTTACAGGTCACTGGACGTGCATTGAGCAACAGTGCTGTGCTCTCAGGCCGCAGCTGGATGAGTGATGGAAACAGGAAACATTTCAAAACTGGTCACATCATCATCCACTGGATTATCATGTCAGACACTCACACCACCAAAGTCTTTCTTAATGTATTTACATACAGTCTAGTGTTGGCCAAAGAGGAGTCAGGAGGAAGTGAGAGACAAAAAAAGTGATTTGAGGCAAAGTGTTCCTCTACAATAACTCGTGCCTTTTGATTCACAGCTCCTACAATTAAGGAGGATTGCTCTTTGCTCGATTTAGTCCTTGTTCTCATATCTTTTAGTTGCCTCACCAATTTACAGAGGCGTCAGAGATCATAATATTCCCAGTCTTTGCAACAGCACCACACAAACCCCAGACCAGAGTGTTCGTACTTTAAGTTGTTCTTAAACACAGCTTAGTTACTGTGGCCTTGGGTTAAGGCTCATTGAGTCCTCCTAGTCAGAGGAATTTAACATTCTCAGGATTGTAGAAATCTATGCTAAAAATGGTATATCCATACAAGCCCCAATTTCCTTTAATCCGCTGAGCACTAATCGCATGTTAGTATGCAAAGCTGTACATTTGTCTCCACCACTGCCTGCTGTTATAATTTGCCTGTTAGTGACTGATACTTTCCCTCCATATACCCTACACATTCCTGATATTTTACACCACCGTTGGACACTTGCATTTGTAAAAGCACAATCCAGTGTACAGTCTTATTCCTTTCTAATAGCCAGCTTATTTGAGCTTAGCTCAACTGATACTAGTGCAGTCCAGCTCTATCATACTTTGATGAAGCTCAAACATTTTCAGTTTTTGTTGACAGTGTCAGAAAGGTGATGTCTTCTGCTTTATTTTGGGTGTGGTTGTGACAAGAATAGTCAGAAGTGTTCTAAATATTTCATTCACCTCATTATGGCACACAACAATAAAGGAAAGGTGTCAAACATTTGGCCTGGGGGGACAAGAAACAGCCCTCTAGATGGCACTGAAGGTGAAAAAAAGTGCAACGTGATCATTATAAATTCAATTCTTTCAATAAAATGTTAACATGCCCTGGTGTGAAGACTTCAGGATTATTATGTAAAGCTGAAGCTCTTTCTCCATCTTGGTTGAGTCAAAAATACTATTTATGTTTAGTTCCAACACTCATACAAAGACTTTGTGCCTTTTAAAACACACTTTAGTTCCCATCTATTGACAGTAGACTGGCTTAATTATGTAAGAATCCCATTTATTCTTCTTAGGTCACCCCAAGCAGTTTTGTCCAGCATGCCACACACAACTCAGTTTGTATTTAAAAAAGAGAGAGAGAGAGAGAGAGAGAGAGAGAGATCCATCTTAAATTAGTATGAAGAAATATCAGCAAAAAAGAAGGTGCTGTGGTAAAATGTGACTTCTGGTATCTGCTCAAAAATGATTTTCTATATTTAAACTGTTGAAAACGAGTCGTTTCAATATGACTTGGTAACATTAATGATACCAAACCATTTTGAGCCAAGAAGAACATTTTATCACAAGGCAGAAGCTTTAATCAGCTTATGGCAAAGTGACTTACATATCATTAATTTATCTGGGTAAAAACGGTCATTAATATTGTCATAGCTCTTTTGACAGCAGATAGCAACAATAAAAAAATATAACATTACAGTTCTATAAAGATATTTAAAGTGGCCACAAAGGACTGGACTGAATATAACGTAGAACAAAAAGTGAGTACAATAACCCAGCGTCTTAAAGATGCTTACAAAACCAGCATTTTTTTAATTTTATGCACAACTGCTTCGAAAATTGTGTTGACTACATTATATCACCAATATAACCAAAGGTACTGCACAGAGAAACATCCGAAGTCACTGTCTAGCAGATGATCACTTTTTGGCACAGCACCGGGCCCCACCTGCAGGGCCTGAATGCCCTGCAGGAGGGGGAAAAACCTGATGTAATGGTTTTACTGGTCCGGCCCACTTCAGATTAAAGTAGGCTAGCTGTGCACCAAGAACTAAAATAAGTGTGACACCCCTGCGCTGAAGAGTTGAAACAGCCATGCTTACAGCCCTAATCAATGGAGTTATAACAGCGAAGTCAAGTTCCACCTACTGGCACAATCAATAGGTTTAACATACTCTATGTACAGTAGTTTGCTGCTCAGTTAGGTTCACATCTGTTGGTCATTACTTTGACAGCTGACAGGCTTGGGTGAGCGGCAGCTAGGGTACTTGAACCAACCCTTCATTAGGGCAAAATTAAGGATAACAAATGAAGGTTTTACGCTAAAGCTGGCTAGCGTAGCTAACGACGTGTCCCAATCAGGTTAATATTAACATACACAACGCCATGACAACGTTAGCCCATCCAGTTTAGCTTTAACACACGTTAACCCCAAAATTACACCAACTAAAATGTCTTTTTACCGATACTCACCTGCACCGTAGGTCAGCTGTGTGGTAACCTGCGTGGCTTAGCATCAGTCACACTAATGGTACTATTGGCTCCGCACACGCCCCTACACTCCCAGGCGACTCATGCTTTGGTCAGTAGGTTTCGCCCCGGTGAAACGCAAACACCACTGCCCTTTTTTTGTAACTTTACCACATATGGAAACCAGTTTGTCCCAGTAGCACTGTCATCAAATGTAATAATTGTGCTACCCTGTGAAATAAATAAAAGCATACAGCTGCATGGCTAGCTGCCTAGCTTAAACAACTTTTTTTTTTTTTTTTTTTTTTTAGAAAAGCTGGACTTCCTGCCGGAGCTTCCGCATAGCCATGCCTTATCATCAGTATCATCAGCTGGAAAGTGGATTTGTTCACGTTCAACGCTAAACTGCTGGTCTGACAGAGACACCAGGGAAGCCCCGCACACCACGAGGTGTCTTTCTGCACCATTGTTTTTTTCTAACGGTAAAAACCGAACCTTATGACAAATCCACACTGCTTGTCACGCCAACAAAGCTGACATTCCTTCAACACCTCCTTCCGAGTAACGAAAATCTGCCCTAGCATGCTGCTGCAGAAGGACTTTACCTTATTAGGTAACCTGTAAAAATTTGCTCACGTAACTAAAGCATGCCACCACCTCCTTCCATCCTGATCCCAGTCACAAGAGAGACATTTACTTACCCTGTTAGCACAGCTGCACTGTGGATCTCCCTTTTACTTCCCCCCTTTTCCTTTTGTTCTTCTTCCTCCTCTCTGGCTCCTGGGCTGAGTAAGAGTTGTCAGTAATGGCAACTTCTCTTTCTCTCTTCCCCTCTCCAGCTATTAGACCCTCCCCCTTTGCTTTTCAGCCTGGAGAAAGAATGACACCATCCTTCCAAACAAGTTCTTTCTCGTTTGAGTCTGGCTTAGGACTTGTGCATTACTATGTAAACAAAATCTCCCTCTCTCTCCCTCTCTCTCTGTGTGTGTGTGTTCATAAACTGTCCAGTCAGACCCCCTCTTCGTCCTCCTCCTCCTCCTCCTCCTGCTCTCTTTTCTCTCTGGATTCTTGCAGCATTCTTCATTCAATGACATCAACCCTGTTGCCTCTCCTTGTAAGGTCAGAGTGGGGGAACGAGGGAGCAAATGGGAGGGAGAGATAATGGGGCTAGAAGCTTGATTAGATGCAGGCACTGAAAGCAGTCAGCGGGTTTAAAGCGCTGTGAGGCACAGTGGCTGTAAAAAGTTGACCGCTTCTGCTTTTAAACAAGCTTATGAAAACATACAAAGCTGCATTTAGTGCCGCTCTTTTTACCTGCCTAGACTAGCACAGCTCAAGATCAGATTGTAAAGGCATTATTTGTATTGGTTGCCAAATGGGCTGCCACATCATTGTTTGCTTTGCAGCAAGACCGTAAACGTGGAAAGTCTCTGTGCGCATGATTAGTAAACTCGATTATAGATAGCAACTGCATTTTATCTGTCCCTGTAATCAGGATGTGCAACCTGGTGTTAAAGTGACACCTCCCATCCTGTAGCTCAGCCACATCAATGACATAATGCTCTTTTGTTTCTCACCAACATCCAACTCACATTGTTCACACAGCCTACCTGGTGTGAGTCATATATCACCTCTTCAGGTGTAGTCATTTTTCTGTTTTATTAAGTAAGTCTTTTTTAATGTTTCATTTCAGTTAGATGGAGACACTAAAAATAACAGAGCATGCTCTCAGTTCTCACAGCAGTCACACTTTGTTCTTGTTTAGGGCTAAAATGATAAGTAGATTAACTGATTAACAACTGGTTATTTTAAGAACTTGATGGTCATGTTTTAGCTTCTAGTACTGGCAGCTTGCTTATTTTATTTGGTCATACAAAACCAGAAATTCCATGATTTTACTTGTTTCATTTTTTAAAATGATTTCCTTACACGTTAGAGGGCAAAGATAACTGACCAATCAAGTCTTCTGAAGACATGGTAGTGTGTAAACATTAGTCTTCACAATTAAAAGTCAAATGAAAATTATGTGGAGTCCCATCCTGTGTTTTTCAACATATAAACAAGGGGGAAAGCTGCAATTATCTACAAACAGAATGTTTATTTTGTGCTTTTAGCATGATTAATGTTGGAGCCTGAATGTTGGATCAACCTTTTAAAAAGCAAATGTGTATCACATGAAAACCATGTGAGTCATCTTTATTAGTACACACATATATTAATCGTCTCATTGCACATTCTCATCGCTGCTGCCAACTCACAGATTGTCATATGATGTTCAGGTTGAGACAGGGCAGAGTTGCACTTCAGTCTGATTGTGAAACCGTAAGCAGAGCTCTCTGCTCAGTTCCGTTACCTCTGCAGCAGCGCTTGTGTAACCTGTTGCTGCCTGATTCATGTCTGTGAACTACAGGGTGTGGTCTGTGGGGTCTTTGATAGCCTATTGTCCGGCGAGGAATGTTTCCAGTCTCTCCACATTTCCAGTGGGACAAAAATATGTTGAATTTCCACCCAGAGGTTTCCACAGAGAATGAATATGCACCCCATCCAGGGTGGGGGCTTTTAGGCAGATGACAAATGTTTGTGTGTTGTTCCAAATTCCCTCCACTCTCTTGTGACTGTTTTTGACGGGTGAAGGGTTTAAGCTAAATGACACATGTTTAATGCTCTTCTCCTCCTTTGTTTTTTTTTAAAACCAGGTGGTGCCTTGGTGACTGAAGTTTGGATCAGGCAGTGAGAAGGCAGCTCCAGGGTCCAGTGAGTGTGAAGGTAAGGCAAAAAAACAGGAGGCTGTTGGAATCAGAGCCAGACAGACTGGAATGTGGCCAAGCCTTGGAATGAACAGTTCCTCCACCCCTCCCTCACTAAAGTGCCATATCCCCCCCCCCCTCTATAATGCCGCATTTTTTTCACCACTTTTCTTCTCCAATTGCTTCATTTCTCAGTCTGTCCTCCTTACGCTGCAATTTTCTTTCCTTTCTTTTCTTTTTTTAAATTTTACTTCTCTCTGTCCACCACATACTGTGCATGAATCAGTACTTGTAATACCTCAGTGCTTATGATTAAAATCCTAATAATTTCCTGTCCATACAGAGGCATGGTCGCTCCATCTCTCTGACGACAAAAAGACATCGATTGTCTTTTGTACCTAGTGCTATTATCATAGTTAATAACACTAAACCATAAGTGTTGCTGCCATTGCACATTGCACTTTTTTGATGAAAAATCTAGGTTGTTTTCTCAGGCTTATATTATATTATATTATTTTGGTGAGTGTATGTGATGTGTTGGTTGTCTGTTTGTTTGTTTGTACGGACATACTGCAAATCAATTTCCCGTTAGGGACAATAAAGTTACCACCACCAACACCACCATTTCCCCCCCTCTCTCTCTTAATAATTTCTTGAGAACGTGGGAAGCCATTTGTATGCAAGGCGATTGAAATGTTTTTAACTTTGAACTGCTCATCCACAATAAATTAAATGATCCATAATAACTTATCTTGTACATAAATGCATCTTTAGCTTTTTAATTTTGTGCCCTTGATTTTTTAACATTAATAATGTAATTAGGTAACATTTAATCCAACTCAGGTTATCCAGTGACCCCTTTAAAGAACTTTATGTAAGAAATAAGGCTAACTTCCACTTTTAAATTCAGCAAACAGTGGTTTCAGCTGCCTGTATCCTCACAGCAAGAAGGTCCTGGGTTTGAATCCAGGCTGCATCTTTTCTCTGTGGAGTTTGCATGTTTTCTCTGGGTACTCCGGTTTCCTCCCACAGTCCAAAGACATGCATGTTAGGTTAACTGGTGATTGTAAATTGACTGTGTTTGTGAATGCAAAACTGAATGGTTGTCTGTCTTTCTGTGTTATTGCTGCAAGCGACTGATGTCCCGTCAAGGCTGTACCCCACGTCTCTATGGTCTCTATGATATGGCCTGCAGCACCTCCACGACCCTGAATTGGATAAGTAGAAGAAAGTGAATGGTTCTGTTATAACTAAGATAAGATAAGGCACAAGTTACCCAGTATACTCACTATCAGCTTCAGCATTAGAGTAATGTATGTATTCTTCACCTTCTATACAATCAGTTGCCAGTTTATTGAACAGATAGCTAAACACTAATACAGACCAAGATAATTATCCTGCAAATAAATAAAGGTTATACAGATGTTATCTTTACTTTGTTTATCAGGTTGCCTGAAAGCAGGCTAAATAAATTTAGACTGGAGTGTGAGAAAAAGCCAATGAAGAATTTTTCATGTGAAAATCCAGTATAAACACAAAGTGTAGCCTGCAATAGATATGCAAAGCAAATGGCATGCACATAAATCTGCAAAGCATAAATTCCAGGTGCACATCAGCCAAGATGAGAACCTGCATATTTGTGGCAAAACATGGCCTCGTCACTCAGCACTGAGAGGAAAAGTCTCTTCGCTGCCAAACTGGCTTCCAATCAAAGCCAGGGTTAGACTGCAGTGTCCTAATCCCCCCAGCAGGTGTCAGACTGATATTCATTACTGTGCTGCACACAGCCCAGAATCAAATGGCTTGAGGTTAGAAGATTCCCCCACGTTCTCTGACAGAAGGCAAATCGTCTCGAGCTAGAGATGTGTTAAAAGACAGAGGTATGTAAGGTGGAAACACGCAAATTCAGACGTGACTCTTAGAGATGCTGAGAAGCTGAAGGAAACGAACTGGACGCAGAAACGTATCTAAGGACGAACATGCTGCATGGTGGTGGTGGTCTAGACGAGGAGGGCTGGAGCGAGAGAGAATGTAGGGTAATTGCGGGAGAAGAGGAAAGAGAATTGTAAATAATAGAAGACAGTTGGGAACTCCTCGTACGCAAGGTTTTGCCTGGTGTAACGGCTGCATAAACACATACACGCACAAGTCATGCACAGAGAGACTCTATACCACCTACACACAAATATAAAACAGCCCAAAAATATGTGTGCTGAAGAATCCAAGCTAGAAACTGTGGCTCAGTGCGCCAGCTAATAATACACATAAACTCTATTCTCCTACTGGCTAAAACAAAGCTAATGACATAAACTCGGTCATTAGATAATGTCTTATCAGAGACTGCCTCTTCTCATAACAACATTTATATTGCTCCCTTGTTCCCACCCACCTCCTACACCCCTTGCCTCCTCAAAAACAAACAATTTAGTAATTCCCTCCCTTTTTTTTTTTCATTCCCCCTTCATCTTCTTTTCTCTCCTTGTCTTTTGCATCAGTTCTCTTTCGCCAGTTTCAGCCAGATGCCACCCCTCCTTTCATCCCCTTTCTCCTTATGGCTAACTTAGCAAAGGCAAGTGTGTAACATGCGGTTCCAATTAACACATATAATGACACACTCTAGCAGTTTGATTCATCACAAAAAAGCCAGACAAAACAGTAGACAGTCACCGACTAAAGGTGGCAGAGGGTGGAGAAAAAGGGCCTTTCTCAAAGGAGTTTAACCAGTCTGAGCTAGTTTTTAATACTACCTTTAGAAAGACTGGAGCAGGCATTCCTGTGCATCAGCCAGAACGCCTTTAGATTGTCTGAACAAGACAGTATTGAAGCTGGTATTCATTATCCTTGAGGTGTAACCTACATAGCAGCCAGGAGCTGATAGACAGATAGTGACAGGTACATGAAAATCATTGATTACAGAAATTATCTGGGTGTGAGTCCCCAAGGCAATATTAAACAGGAGCCACTGCATCTAAATTCAATGCAGCATCATCACCCGAGATAAGAAAACAAGAGGTGCGGTGACAGGAACATGATAGAAGTCGTCTGTGTCATGTGTTGCGAGGCCGTTTTACGTCACGGTATCTGCTTCTTTTTTTTGTAGTCTCCGCGTGTGAGAGAATAAGTAATGAGACGGCGACGACGATGAGAGGCAGTCACATTTGTGAGTGGCCTATGCATCATGCGTGAGATTAGTGTCAGGAATTTCCTCCATCTATGGCTGACCTTGTCTCACATTGCTAGACGGTATCATAGATCACCATGTTGTCACAGACTGTCTGAAAAGGCTGCTGCTAAAATTATTTTCCATTATTGATTAATGTGAAAATATTATCCTCGGTTAATCTTTGCTCTACAAACAAAAAGAAAAAGAAAGCAGTGAGAAATGTGCTATAATATCTTCTTTTGTTCAGCTGAAAACAACAACAGGAATAATTTGTTATGTGAGAGATTGAAAAGCGGCGTCTCATAAACTGGGATTGTGGGTACGACGTCTCTTTAACGGTTAATCGATTTTAAATATAGTCAATCAATTAACCCTTATAGAAGCACAATATACAAAGTGTTGTAGGAGAAAAGGAGTATAAAACAGGAATCCTATTGACAGGGAAATGCAGGTAAAGCAGGATAGATACGCCTAGATTAGCTGAGGATTTGAGAGACTTCCAGACACTGACTGACATGCAGTGATGGGCAGATGGAGTGAGAACTGAGACAGAGATTTAAAACAACAGCGTCAGTCAGTCAGCTGCAAACAGGGTTAGAGGGTTCAGGTTCATGTTATAGAAGTGAAGCTGACCCCTGCAGAAACCCCTGTGGGAGTTGACAAACAGAGCTAATACACATGGAAATCCAGAGTGCAGGGATTGGCTGGATTATGTATGTATGGTTTCTAATGTCTGGCAACCCCCCACCCTTGTTTTTGTTTTTTGCAGCATCACAACCATGACTGTATATTTCCAAGTGACCGTCATTTTCTTTCATCCATTCTGGAGTGCTAATTTTTATTTCACACAGAATCCTCTCCACACCTCTCCCGCACATGACTCCACTGTTCTCTGCCTGCCTTGCTTCTCATCACTCCCTCCATCTGCGCCTTTTTTCCTTCTTTCTGTTCTTCCCTCCATCCATCTGCCCAGCTCTTTTCCCTCTCTCTCTGCTCTTTACCCAGAGAGTTCAAAGTCAACAAAAAAAAATGACCACAAATAAACCTGTCTCCTCCGCCCTTTTTCCACACACACACACAGCTTCTTGCTGTCCAGACTGCTTAGAAACAGCACACATCAAAGTAAAAATAAATACACAATTTCATAGAAAACCAATGAGAGGAAAGGTTTTGGTATGATGGCGTTATAGATATAGTAGACGGAGGGTGCAGAAGTCATAATGATAATTGTTTTGGTTGATAACGAGGTCTTCTTTGAGCGCTAAGTTTAGTTTAGGGAGGAGTGATGTAGGGCTTTTAGGGAAGGGCCAAAAGGCACATGCTGTGAAGAAACTGTGAAACAGGTTGTGTCACAATAACCATTTTATCTCGATTATCTTCTTTTCACCCTCTTTAGAAAGCAAAACTGTGGCTGAACGTAAAACGTGATTAATCACACAGACTTAATGGAAAGAGGCACAGGTCTAATGAGAGACGCAGAAAGAGCTGTAGATTAAGGAGACAGGTTTTGTTTTTTTTGTTTTTTACCAGAATAGAGAAGAGTGTAGCAGGCAAGGCGAAAAGGGGATAAAAAAGGCAAAAAAACGGGGGGGAATGTAATCCTTAGTGAACAGAAGAAATAGGCGCAGAGATGACTGTGGGCGGATCAATAGTGAGGAATGACAGAGGGAGGAGGTGGAGACTCAGCAGCAGTTTGACTGTGAAGGAAAACCCTCTGCTGCTTTTTTCCTCTCTCCTCAGGATTGTTTCATGTTGGTGTATGAGAATGTTTTTTGAGCGATGAGTGTTGGGGAGGTTGGGGAGAGGGGGGTGCAAAGAGGGAGGAGGTGTTGGGTGATTGAGAGGGAGATGGCGAGGGGAGGAGAGGAGCGAGGAAACCGCTGCAGTGCATTGTTAGGCTGAACGCACACGGGAGAGGGAGACAGAGAGAGAATCCCCCATTTTAGCTCAACAATATTACAGCAGTGCAGTGATATCTACAACAATGGCAGACCGACACTCTGAGCACAGCTATTGATCTTAGTGATGGCACGTCACTGCACACATACTCAGTCCAATTGTTGTTTGACCTGTCTTTAAATGACTGCATGCGGTGGATATTCAGATATTTTGTCATCGTCAGACTCTTTAGGTTAAATTATTTGCGTGAAAAGTCAGAACTCCTGCCACTTAAATCAAACATTAAAAATCAAATGTTACAGGTAATAAAATATGTTGATATCCTATGATATCCTATAATAAAAAAAAAAATGATACGTGTTTTGAAATAATTACAGTAATGCATCACATCTTTATTTAGTCCTAATCTTTTTCCCTCAGGCATACTGACTTACTAACCGGATCTCTTCTAAGACACTGCACTGGAGAGAGAGCAGCAGGGAGAGAGAGAGGGAGAGAGAGGGGGTGAGGGAGAGAGAGTGATCGAGCAAGCGCAGGAGGGAGAGAGAAAAAGAGACGGCAGTGGAGAAGCGAGAGAAAAGAAGCCAGAGCTGAGAGAAAGAGAGAGTCGCAGGAGGAAGGAGAAGGAGAATGCGCCGTGTCTGGGTAACACTTTTACGCTTGTGTCCAGGGCCTTTGTGAATACACCATGGGATGCATCGGCTCCAGGAGACTGAGTAAGCTCCACTTCTCTTACTGCGGGCTAGAGGGAGGTTGGGGTGAGGGGTGCAGGGGTGCAGCGGAGATGCTGGAGGATGCGGGTCCATACAGGAGCAAAGGGTTTGTGTAGACTAGGAGCAGTCTTTGTATGTGTATGTGCACAGGAGCTGCTTGCCTCTGTTTCTGTGCAGTCTCAAGGCAAGCTCTGGACGTGTGGTCACAGAGGCAGTATGCACAGTATACCGCCTAGATGTCAAAAGCAATATGTGTTAAAATGTGCTACTGTGTGTGTGGCTGCATCCCCCACCTCCCTGCTCCCCTTCTTCCCTCCTCCCATCCCATGATTTATGATGCTGTTTGGCAGTATGTATATGTGTGAGTAGGAGGCAGAGGGATGGAGAGGAGAGAGGAAGAGAGAGAGAGAGAGGCGGGAGAGGGAAGCGCGGTGAGACTGCTTATTTATAGGGAGACATAGCTTGGAGAAAGAGAGAAGGGATAATGCCATTGTTTGGGACATTTGCACAGTTTATTGTTATTTGCATGAATAATAGGCATAGAGTGGAAGGGGATAACGAGAGAGCAGGAAGAATTTCAGTGCAGGCAGGGAGGAGAAGAGATGGGCGGATGGCGAGGGAGAGAGGGGGAGAGGGGGAGAGGGAGGGGCAAATGCATAGGCGAGGGTATGTGGCAGTGATGGGAGTTTTCAGGTGAGGATAGTCCTGAATAAACCCGTAGCTGTCGTGTTGACAGCGCCGGCACTGAGACCAAGAGGTGCTGGGGGGAAAAAAACAAAAAGCTCGGGTAAACAATCACTTGTTTGCTTAAATGTATTCGGGTATGTTGCAGTGCACGCTTACGCGTCCTAGTGTGTAGCATCAATCACGTGCCGAGGTAAAAATAAACACAGACTTTCTTTGGTGTTAAATATTCATGCCTCACTTAGCACATCCAGCTCTTAAACATATTTATGGCACAGCATGGGTCTGGACACGGTGGTCACTCACTCTTCTAAAACACTCAAGCACAGCCTTTACAGGGCTACCAGAAGCGGGTTGCAAACAGGGTCCATGCTGCGCCTTTCCCAGGCCCCATTTTTAAAACTAAATGTAAATTCTTCTTAAAAATATCTAGAATATGCAAAAAAGAGTACAAGATGACACAGTTAGGAAGGCAGGTGTGAACTGAATACAGCAGGAACAGCAAATCCAGCGGCTCTGGCTGTTTTTTCTTGACACAGTGTGTAGCAGGAGAAGAGACTGGGATCCTATTTCAACACTCACATCAAGACAGAAGACCCTACAAGCCTCCAGATGTTGGGATGTAATGTGACTGAAATAGGCAGAAAGCTTTGAAAAGGTGCCCCATTAATCTAATGGTGAGTCACCTGAATACTGATGCTCGTTTTTATACATGCGATCACGGAAGCTTAGGAATTTAATAAAGGAGCTCTAGTAATTGCAATTATGTTTTCGAGTCAGGGATAAGCAAAAAAGATAAGGGAGAATATGTTTTTAGACCAGCAGCCCACAGCAGTAGAGATTGTAGATCCACTAAAAGGAATATTTCCCTTCAGTTTGCAAGTGTTATCTTAAGCTGTGTGCACTATAATCAAACACGAATGCGTAAACAAACAGTACTTAAGAGAAGGAAGGCTGGGCATTTTCAAGCAGCTTGTGTGACTCGGTCTGATTTCCTTGTAAGTAACAGAATCAGCAGCAGTGCTGCCCGTCCAAAGGCGGGGTTGTGTTTATCCTGGGTGAGAATGGCTTCAGTGTGTGCTATCGATCGACCAGCTCAACTGCAGTGCACGCTGCCAAACAGAGATCAACAGGAGGAGCAGCAGGCAAAAGGAGTGGATCTGTCTCTGCACGGGAGTAGCCCTGATGTATCTGTCTGCCTTCTATCTCTCCCAGCTCCATCATATCTGGGAGTGCACTCTGTGGCCAGGCTCTGATATCAGTTTGTACTATTGTTTGATTCTTCTCACAAACGATACGGCTGTGCCCAGCCTTTGATATAGTGTACTGCATAGTATCCCTCAGGAAATAGTTCTATATTGATTCTGTATTTTTTATATTAGAAATGTGAACCAAAAGCTTTATTTGCACCTTATTTTACTCTAAAGGTGTCGGGTGTCAGGTTAAACTGAAAGATCTCATCCGAAACACTCAGTAACTGATACACGTAGGCAAAAATAAACTACAAATTTTTAAGGCTGTGCAAATATTTTATTTGTTTGCTTGCTATTTTGCCAGGCAAAGGTTTGGCTTAAAGCCTTATCGACCTAATTGCATACAAGTACAGTAGGCTCGCTACAGTATATGATAGTGGTTGTTTTGTGTTACTGATTGTTACCGAGTCAAGCGAAGACAGACGTACAGGCAGCAGATAAACTGTCTGCATCCATCCATCACCACTTCAGAGGGTAAAAGGCCTTGAGATGCAGCAGATGGGAGATGCGCATTCTTCTTAACCTCGTCAGTGACAAAAGGCACTACATTCTATGACAAAATTAGAGTTTAATTGCATCTTTAAGAGCAACTTCCCGCAGAAAAGCCAGTGTCAGTGTAAAACTGTCACAGCCCCACGATGCCGATCATATTTCTCAATGTAATGCAGATAATCTAATCAGTAATAACTGTGGCAAAAGCTACAATTGAGCTAATTTTCCTGTGTCCACTTACCAGGCAGCACTATACCTGCAACTCCTTGAAGCATTAATCACTATAATTTAGGGCATTGTGTGCTTTGTGACTGTAACTGCTGTAGTTCAGGCTGCTGTGGTGAAATTATAGATATGGATGTGGGACATTGTGATGACTTTCACCTGTTTGTGCAGCCCTTTATCTAGACTCGTCACTACCAGTTAGCTGACACACTATTTGCTGATTCAATAAGCAGTAAGAGCCAGTTCTAGTATGAGTGTGAGTGAGCGTTTGTGGTTGTTTACTTGCTTAAGGCTGGGCATCGATTCACAACGCTTTTCTGGGCCTGAGGTGACTGAAATGCGTTTGTAAGAAAGAGTATTGCATGTGTAAAAGGATGTTTTGTTTATGATTTGTTCTTTCATTTTATTTATTTTTTTTATCAACATCCTATTAAATGAAACGAATTAATTGTAGAAAATCATGTTTACATTTAGTAACATATTATTAAAAAAGTAGAATGTTGGCATTCAGCCCATTCAGTTTTCAGAAGTTTTGGTGTCTTTGTGCCTCCATGGTACTGCATGTGTTTGTGTATGGACCTCAGTTTACCTGCGTCTTGTGGTGTAGCGGTCTTACTGAATTTTTTATGTTTCGTGTGGGTGTGAAAGCGCCATGTGCACCAATGTTACTTCAGCGCTTTCTTCCATTGCTCTGTTTCTGCTGCGTTACAGCGAGGGATTCCCTGCCATTAAATTTAAAACCGAACACCCCCGCTACACCATGCCTTTACACACACACACACACACACACACACACACACACACACACACACACACACACACACACACACACACACACAACAACTGACACCATGTCCCGGATTTGCCAGTTAGCAGTCTGCCTGTAAACTAGCAAATCTGGCAGAGGTAGAGTCTGATTGATTGGCTTCTGTTCCGGATAGAAAAGCCTTGCGCTCAGGAGCATATTCAAGGTGAATGACTCAGTGATGTAGTACTCAGAGACACCTGGTGAGACCTGATGACCATTGTGTGTGTGCGATGGTATGTGTGCTCAAAGAGTATTCTTATGTTCAAGGATTCTAATGTAACAGATATAACACAGGGTCTTAACCTGAAGGTGTATGTCTGTGTGTGTGTGTGTGAGCGCCTCTTTGTCACTTCTCTGATGTGCGCTATTATAATTTTCCTTGTTACCAATACCAGGTTACAAACCTGGATGATTATAGGTATAACATTGTATATTGTATATGTGCATGCAAATGTGAGCTTGTGTGTATGTGGCAGATCAGAAATAAGAGGCCTGTGTGTGGGCACATGATGGCAGGCGATTCTATAAACAATGTGACTCAGCCGCAGAGTGAGTTATGAAATTGAAATATAATGCTGCGAAGGAGAAAATTCATCTCTACAGTTTGATCTCTGAGTGTGTGTGTGCTGTGTGTGAGAAAGCATGAATATATGTGCGTTTGTGGATGCTCTCGGCATTAGTGTGCGACCGGCACAGATTGTCTCTGTGTTATCTGCAGCTACTAACCACTTCAGTGCTGATAAAGAAAGGCCATGTTCTCACAGATGGGAAGTCTCCTTTGAATATCAAAGAGCAAGGAAAACAAAGATTTCCTGCATGCAAAGTACACGAGCTGCCTCATACTTTAATGATTTCTTCTGTTTCTACAGGTTTCCATCCATTTATCTAAACAGAACTGGATAACAGCATTTCCTCCTTTTCAGGTCTACATGTTCATTATATATTTAACAGGCTATTAGGGTGTTTATTAGAGTCACACTGATGGGCTTCAGGTACATCTGCCAAAGGCTTTTAGTTACCACACTGCACAGGTGACTGCTGGAAGTTATTCACCCCGTATCAGTGATGGAGACCTGCTCGGGATAGCAGCCACATTCGTGCAGAGACAGATTAATGAAGCGTGTCAGGAAGAGGGCACAAACCTTAGAAATGCCATTTCACCAGGTTAATGGTCGTCTCGTGCTGTGTTATAGTTTCAGTATGTGTATGTCAGGGTGTCTGCATGTGACTGGATCATGTCCTGAGACACAGTTAGCTCAGTTTTCTGCCATCTCTCCCAGCCATCTGGGCTCTGGTCCTCAGCTGTGTTCTTGCTGAACTCTGACGCTCAATAACCCAGCATCTGCACATATCGCTGCAAGAGGGCTGCCATCCAAGCCGGTACCCCATCGTGGCAACCAGCCTTACTGCAGCTGTCACGGTAAACAAGCACCAAACCCCCTGGATCCTCGCTGTTATTGCTGCAGGGCACTGGGTGTGAAAAAGACAGATGACGCTCAAACGATTCCCACTTCAGCAGGAGCCGTCAACCCACTACAGCC